GATAGCACTGTGGTTAAGGTACTGGACTCTCATGTGTGTAACCATGGTCTGAGTCCCAGCCTGGACACTTGAAAATCACACCGGCATGTGTGCATGCATGCCCCAAATCCCGAGAGAGTGGAGGAGAAGGAATTGTAATGTGGCCATCCTCCTGGGGGTGGGGGTGATTTCTCACTTTGTCTCTATATCTCTTTCTCTCTCTGGCAAGTGCACATACTCTCTGGCAACCCCCCACCCTCCCCCTCAAAAAAAATTGTAAAAGTAATACATGTTCCCAGGGAAAAAACCAGACCAGTAGAAAAAGCCTTCTTTGATTCTACTCCCTAACACTCACCCCTACTAACTCTTCTAGAGAAGTGTGATAATATATCCATACCATTACTCAAAAGCTATATAGACACAACATAACCTCACATTGTGCATGTACACAGGCAGAGAGAAAAGCAGACAGAATTGGATGGGTGTCCTGCGAAGGAGGAGGAATGGTGGCTCAGGATGTAAAGCGGAGGTTTTGGTCGGAGGCAGACTGGAGGAGGCTGTGGATGGGCCAGGCAGGTGTTCCTGAAGAAAGGACATAAAGCAATACCAGGAATAGGAAAAGGCAGGAGGGTCTCAAAATAATGCGACATGGGAAGACTTCAAAATGCTGGCGGAAACATTGAATTAAAGTATGAGTTTACTTGGGTGCGAAAACCCTGAAATCTGTGCATAGATTGTTCTTAGTAGGCATTGTCCACGAACTTTTTGAAGACTCCCCTCCACATCTCCACGTTGAAAAAAAAAAAAAATCCTACAATTTAGCGGGTGAAAAGTCTAACATCTAGTTGGCCTCAGGTTCCTTCCCTGGAAAATGGGACTATTAAATATATATATTCCTCGCAGCTTATTATGAAGGTGAAATGGGCATAATGGATTTAAAATGCTAGCTTAGTGCCTAAAGCAACAGACGGAGCTTTTCCTAAGTGTGTGCTGTCATTCTGGTCACTGTGACTTTTTTGGTGGTGCTGTCGCTGCTGCTGTTGGTGACACTTAATCCGCCCTCTGTCCTCTTGCAGCCCACGGGGGAAGAACCTCCTGACAGCATTTCTCTTTTCATTTTGCAATCCGTATTTTCTCTATCCTGTTTCTTCTACTTTTTCTAACTTTCTTTTATTTTTCTTTTTTAATTTGCATGTGCTCACCAATAAGAGACAGAGCAAGAGTGAGAAAGCACTCCTCCCTCTCCCCACCCAGGGTATGGCCATGCCACAATCCCTTCTTCTCTGCAATCCCTTCTCCTCCATTTTCCTTTCAGGATTTTGGTCACACATGCACATGCACCTGGCATGTTTTCTAAGTCTTTTGGAGAGGTTCTCAAACCATGCAGCACGCCATGTGGGGTCCAGCCCCCTTAACTACCATATCACCAACTGGCTGTACTGCTTCTAACTTTTTCTACTTCATATGGTGTACTCTTTTTTTTTTTCTTTTGGAGAGGTTTTTGTTATAGGGCGCGTGAGCGCGACAGACAGACAGAGAGACAGAGAGACAGAGAGATAGAAAGCGAGAAATCACCCCCCAGGGGGGATGGCCATGCCACAATCCCTTCTCCTCCATTCTCCTCTGGGGATCTTGGGCACGCATGCACACGCGCCCGGCGTGAGTTTAAGCCACCGGGTCCGGGACTCAAACCGCGGTCAATGATGTGAGAATCCAGCGACATAGCCGTTATGCTAACTGCTTGTCCCTGGTGTGCTCTTGAAGAAAGCTTTCTGGCCCTTGGGGGAAATAAATCCTACAGGTGTGCAGAGATGTTTTGCTGGCAAAGGTCCCTGCTCATTTTCTTTTTTCTGTTCTCTGGCCTGTTCCCTCCCACGTCTGTTGGATGCGCTTTCAGCAGAGGCCTCTACTTCTTCACTACACCCTGCACATACTACCTACGGCTATGAATTAGAATCACTTACTTAGGAAAAATACCCATGAGTCACTAGGACTGGCCTGTTTACTGTCTGCATTTTAACAGCATTGACTTTGCGCTCCATTTGAGACGTCCTATCCTTTGGGATACTATTTCTACTTGTATATGGGGGTTTTTAAAAAGTTCAGGGAAAATGGAATTAAAGCATGAGTATTTTGGTGTAAATTTTTTTGGAAATCTATACATAGTTGTTTTTTGATAAGGTTCATTTTTCCATGAACTTTTAAAAGAGCCTACAAATTTAGCATGGCTGGCTTCAAACTCTTGCTTTAATATTCTACGTCTTGAATGCTGTTAGCTGTCAGAAAACTAAGCCTGCCCACACACTATTCTATTCTTGATTTATAAATAGGTTCAGCTGCCTAACAATTACACAAACTCTGTTTTGCACATGCACATTCCTTAAGGAGACATTTAGCGGGTAGATGGCTTTTACTCCTGTAAAGTTATGTGCAACTGTCTTCTTGAACTATCTCCCCCGCACCCCCCCCAAGCAGCCATATTTTCAAGAACTGGTGATGAGATTTTTTTGTTCGGTAAAAGCTTGAGACACAGTTTCCAGCATGTACAGGAAATCCAGTATCAGATTTCTAACCCATCATCATAGGGATAGGCCCAGGACTGGCTTCTGCTTGTCAGTGAGGTGTGCGCTGTGGGCTGTCTATCATCCATGGCCACACATGCTTGTGGCTATGAGAAATACTAGCGACAAAGTAAGATGTCAAAGAGCGAGCAGTGGGGCCTGAGATGCCATTGAAAAGTGGCATCTTAGGTATTAATATCATGAAGGACTTAATAAGGTCAAAGGAAGGAGAGGACATCGCTTGTACAGTGTCTTCCCCTGCCCCCTCTCCCCATTAGCTACAGTTTCACTTTCTCTGGCTTCAGTAACTCAATGTTTTTTTTAATTATATTTTTTTTTTACTTTTTTGGAGAGGTTTTTGCCATAGGGCGCCTGTGCTCGCCAGACAGACAGAGAGAGACATAGAGACAGAAAGCGAGAAATCACCCCCCAGGGGGGATGGTCACGCTGCAATCCCTTCTCCTCCATTCTCCTCTCGGGATCTTGGGCATGCACGCACACGCGCCCGGTGTGAGTTTTAAGCCACCGGATCCGGGACACGAACCACGGTCGACTACGTGGGAGTCCAGCGACATAGCCATTACGCTAACTGCTGCTTCCCAGTAACCCAATGTTTTGAGAGAGGGCCCACGGTCCTGAACATCGTACAGTATCTTGTTATAATTGTTTTATTTTATTAGTAGTTATTGTTGCTCATCTCTGACTGTGCCTAATTTATACATTCAACTTTATCATCATATGTGTGTAGGGTAGGTTACTATCCAGAGTTTCAGCATCCCTATCCCCCATTAGGATACCAAGGCTCAGGGGAGAGATTTGCCCAGCAACCCAGAAGGGAAAAAATGCCCTAGTCTAACGAGATCAGAATTTCTGTTTAGGCAGAGCAGGAACTTGAGTAAGAATACTGAGTACTATTTATTTCTCCATACAGTGCAAGAGGGAGGTGGATTAAATAGCACCACTTTTACAGATGGAGAAAATGAAGCCAAGAGTGAAAGCTTGGTTTGAGCAGGCACCTGGGTCTGATACTTTGACCACACTCCCCTTCTGCATCCATCTTGCTCTGACCTCAGTTCCAGTCTAGGCCCTGCCCCCACCTAGGTGTGACCGTGACCCATCTGTTCCACTCTCAGCCTGTTCCCTTATCATTACTTGAAGGAGTCTGGGTATCTCTAAAACTTCCTGATAGTGGGACATATCTGATTTGGAGAGCCAGGAGCTGAAACCAGGCAGTGTGAAGAGGACTCAGTACTAACGGCTGACTGACGGGAAGAGAAATCCAAGCCGCTGGGGGGTGGCATACTGGGCTAGAGGGCGCCAGGCCATGAGTTTATGGTTTGCAGGAAGTGACTGGTGGAATTCAGGTTGCGACCAATACATTCAAAAAACCAACCAACCAAACAAACAAAACACAATCCCAGATCTGGCCTCTTTGGAGTAGCTCGGGGCAGTGAGTCACAGGGCTAGAACCTGGTTGGACCAGAGGGGGGCTCCATCGAGCGCGGTCTCCGAATCCTGAAGAGCCCACCGTCACCCTCCGTCGTCCACCGGACAGGATGGGTCGCAGTGCGCGCGGAACTATGGAAGACCAGTCGTCGGTTTCCGCCCTCCCTGGTCCCAGATCCGCTGCAGCCCTTGCCCCGGCCCTGCCCTCCCACCTCCAAGGGCCGGACTCTCCCTCCAGCACCTGATCCACAGGCGGGGGCGCGGGAGGCGCGATTTCCTAGAAGCCCGAAAAGGCGGCTCAGCGTTGGAAGTGGGTATCCCCAAAAACCCTAGAGGTTCGCGCGGACACACACCACGGTCATAGAAGGGCCTAGGGGTGTGTGTGTGTGGGTGGGGGGCGTGCTGGAAGGAAGAAGAGGTATCCCACACCATCCTCATCCACCCCGGAGCCCAGTTCCATCCCGGCCCTTCCAGCCCGGGGTGACCCAGAGGGGATTTGGGAAGCGGGGCTGACAGTGGGTGGGGAGGTGGAGGAGTAACCCGAGGTCCAGAGAGGAGGGTGCAAGGTAGGCGGGGGTGCTAGGAGGCTGCTTCGGTACCTCTAGGGCACCGTCCCCACCTCTGCCGGCTAAACCTGGAGCAGGGACAGTGAGTCAGATTTCGGGCACCCGCGGGTCGAGAGCGGAGTGGGGGGCAGGTCAGGAAATGACATCAGAGGCCCGTGCTTGGGGAGGAGTGGTTTGTGCCCGCCCTGGCGGCGGGGGTGGCGGTGAGTGGGACAGGGGCGGGCGGACCTTGGCCGAGCCTCC